CAGCACAATTTACAATACCGAAGATTTGGAAACAGCCTAAATGCCCATCAGTGGATGAGTTGGATTAAAACTGTGGTACATCTACACAATGGGATACTACACTGCTGTAAAAAAGGAAAGAACTCCTACCATTTGCAACAGCATGGATGGACCTGAAGAGCATTATGCTAAGTGAAATAAGTCAGTTGGAGAAAGATAAATATCACATGATCTCACTCATTTGTGGAATATAATGAACAATATAAACTGATGAACAAAAACAGATCCAGAGACAGAGAAGCATTGGTTAGACCGTCAAACTTCTGAGGGAAGGCAATGGGGGTGGGGGGAAAGGGGAGAGATCAACTAAGCATAACCAATGGACAGACACCAGGGGGGTGAGGGCATGAGTGGGAGGGTAGGAGGGCAATGGGGGGGGGGGGATAAGGACACATATATTATACCTTAATTAATAAAGAAAAAAAAAAAAAAAAAAAAAAAAAAAAAAAAAAAAAAAAAAAAAAAACACACACACACAAGAAAAAATGGTAGGGCAATGGGGGGCGGGGATAAGGACACATATATTATACCTTAATTAATAAAAAAAAAAAAAGAAAATAAACTGTGTATAAGTGGACCTGTGCGGTTCAAATTTGTGTTGCTCAAGGGCCAACTATAATTGTGACATTTGTAAGCTTCGATAAATGTAAAAAAAAAAAAAAATCCTGCTAGTGAGAGTTGTCAATGGTGTGAAGTGGAAACCTGTCACACTGCCCAAAGATACATAATCTCCCAATGTCTTCAAAAACAGAATTGAGTCTCACATGTCTGGGATAATTTAAAGGCATGGGGGGGTGGGGGGTGGTGGTGGTGGTGGTTTGAATTGGGTATCTATAATTATGTGCCGGTCATTCAAATGATGGCAACTTTTGAGCATTGATCCTTAAGGGATAGGAATTAAAGTGGTAGAGACCTATTCACACACAGTGCAAGCTATGACCTGAGATAGTGCTGAGTGGGGAGGTCTGTAACAGCTGACAGTGTAGACGAGTGGGGAAATGCTCACTGGAAGTGTCGGTGTAAGACCAAACATTCAGTCTGCAGACACTGCCTTTCCTGTTCATTCTACCAGGCACACCTGGGAATGGCAAGTATTGTCTGAACATTCCACAGAAATGTTCCTTTCAGTTCATTCAAGTTTCTAGTAATTAATCCCGACTCTACCACCCAAACAAAACAGGCCAAACAACCAACAAAACACCATTAACAACAAAATAAACAAAACACCATTACTCCGCTCACCTGGGAAATAAGAACCCAGGAAGCTCGGGTTAGTTAGTGCAGTGGCCCAGGTCACACAGTTAATCAGTGGAAGAAGCAGAACCAGAACACTGCTCCTGCGTCTAAGTGCCTATTGTTTCCACTAGCACAGGCCTTCCCAGGCCCCAGGGCCACGCTGCCACGCGTGCACTTAAGCGCTGCCGGCAGACAGAACAGACAGTGTGTCTCCCAGAAGCTTACTGTGTTCTATTGTTTGAATGCACGTGTCACGGCTGAAGTTAGTAAAATTTGCCTTTCTGTATTTTGTCTGCACACAGACAATGATTAGGCAGAGGACGATGCGACTTTTTGTTAAAAAGACCTTACACTAAAAAATGCCAGGAACCTTCACGCTACCCGTTTATACTTGACTCCTGAAGGGACCAAGATGTTTGTCTTTCCTTTGCTCCCAATGTTTACTACCTGCTTTCCAAGCCCTTCCCGTAGCTAAAGCTGTTTCTTCCCACCTTCAGAAACAAAGGGCTAAATGACTACTTAACACTTAAACAAATTCACACCGAAGGACAGTGAACCAATCAGCAAAAATACAGATATATGGGGCTTACCCCGCCTCCCCCCTGTGTATTTCACTATGTTTATTTCCCAGTTTTGATAAAGAGGAGGGAGTTGGCAAGAAAATGAGACCCAAGGGAAGATAAAGTTTTCTTCAGCTTGATTTTATGAGAGGGCTGGTCTGGGCAGGCCCTGTTTATTTTTGCGCACTTTGAGATATTCTTGTCCTGTGACCTGCCCGGGAAGCTGGGCGCATGCTCAGAAGTGGTACGTAGTGACTTGTTGCTTTCTCAACCTAGCCACGGTGAGGACGCTGATACATCCGACTACTTTTGGCCCCTGTCTCCCGGTGCCAAAAATACATACTTCGCAAGCACAGTGGCGGCCCTGGCCACAGTTGGTTAGAGCATCATCTGGACATGCCAAGGTTGTGGGTTTGATCCCCGGGTCAGGGCACATACAAGAAGCAACCAATGAATGCAGAAATAAGTGCAACAACAAACTGATGTTTCTCTCTCTCACTAAAAGTCAATCAATAAAAAATTTGTTTTTTTCTAAAAAGCAGAGTGGGGAAAAAAAACCCTTTTCAAAAGAATAGTTAGGTTATTACTCCCCAGGATTATATATTTTCCTAAATGATTCCCTCCCCCAAATTTTGTCTTCAGGTTTCTCGCTGAAGGCCTGAAGACGGAGAGGCAGGAGGGCTATCTGCATTTTTAAAGGCTTGCCTTCCCAATGCAGCATTGTGGATCTAGGTAATTGCACCTTTAAGACTCTCCCAACCAGCTCTGCTGCATTCAGTGGTTGGCCAGTCTCAGGTGTGTATTGCAGAGCATGAAGACTCACCAAGTGACTCACCTTACACAGTGAGCTGGCTGAGGCCATTAACTGTTTCATATTACATGGTGGCTTTTAACCTCCAGGCTAAGAGGGCTTGGTGAGCAATCGCCTGTCAAATTTCAGGACTTCACGCCACCGCTCTTGTTTCTAAGGTGGACACACAGTGTGTGCGCAGTTAGAGAAAACCAGGCGGAGCTTTCCTCACCAGGACTGTCATGCCTTGAAGCCAAATGATGCAGTATTTTTAGTTTTAATTACGGGGCTTGCTCTCCACCCCATCCCCCAGCCAAACGACCTCCCTCATTCAGTCTCTCCCTGCCAGCAATCCAAATGGTGACATTGATCTTCATTACTCCCCAGACCTTTCACTCTTCCGTAAAATAAG